AGAAATGACTCATAGACATAGAAAACAAACTTCTGGTTAAAAGGGGAAAGTGGGGTGTGGGGTGGGGAGGGATAAATTGGGAGTGTGGGATTAACAGATACAAACTAACATACACAAAATAGATAAGCAACAAGAATTTAGTGTATAACACAGGGAACAATTTTCAGTATCTTATAACAATCTATAACAGAAAATAATCTGAAATATATATATATACACATATATATATATATACACATACACAGAGAGAGAGAGAGAGAGGGGATGTGTATATATATATGAGTCACTGCTGTAGAAAGTGAAACTAACAATATTGTGAATCAACTATACTTCAATTAAAAAAAAAGTCTAAAGTCTATGGTAGCCTTAGGGAGAGGCTCCAGAGCAGTTTTGGTGGAGGCCAAGAGAAAAACTGAGAGTTCGTGGGCTGAATGGGAACATTTGAAGGGGTGCTGAAGCTATCGAGGAAGCATGGTAATGGAGCAAGATTCCAGAGGGGGAGAAACAAGGGAGCGTTCGGGAGAAGAACAGGCTTCAAGTCCTAAGGGAAGGAAGATGAACTGCTCTGGGACGCAGCAGCACACTCCCCAAATCTGCCAGCACTCTGATTTACGGAGAAGAAAGTCGCCCTCCCTACGGGACGGCAATAACTCCAGACACTTTTGACACTTTACAAAGCTGCTCTCTGCATTATCCCACTTACTCAGGAAGCCACTCCCATGAGGTCAGCCGGCCAGGCGTTTTCATCCCCTCATTAGAGACTAAGAAACAAGGTTACATGAATGGAGTGAGGACCCAGGTTGTAATCCGCCCCAGGCTCAGGCCTGCCCTCTCCGTGATATTCTACGTATTTTTCTTCTCCTGCCTCAGGGTTTCCCCCAAAATGGGGGTCATTCAAATAGCCTCTCCGCGTTTTTGACTGTATTCACCCAAGCACCCCTCACTGATTGATGAGGTCGTGTAAGGTGAGGTCCTGATTTGAGCCTAGTACTGAATAATAGGTGGCATTCCCGGGACTTTGGTGTGCTTTCTTCTAATATTCCTTAAAATAATTATTGAGTCCTTGAACTGAATTATTACTTTCGGATACACTCTCTTCCCACTGCCATGATTTCTCTATGGGGCTGCAGGGGCATCTTGGCAGCACTGTTTTTTAAACTCTTGGCTGCGATCCACAGTAAGAAATAAATCACTTTGCAACCCAGTCCTCACACACATGCACGTATATAAAACAAAAACCAGGTTCACAAGATAATCCTTAACCTGGGTGTGACATACTCTATTTTCTATTCTATTTTTTAATGCTTGTTGTGATCCACTAAATGGATTTTTCGACCCCACAGCTACCTGCAGTCAGGAAATTAATCCTTTACAGAATGTTCTGGCCAAACTTCAAAAGCCTGGTTTTCTGTTTGCACTGCCAGCTTGAGGGGCGCTCCCAGTCCCCCTCCCCACCCACACATAACACATCTCTCCAGGAGGCTCAGGTCCCGGTAAGCTGCAGCCACCAGAGGAGAAGGGGGCTTCCTGGACACCGAGAGTGTTGCAGCCCCAAGGCTGCTGGACTCAAGGTGAAATTCAGCGCCTTCACCACACCACCCCTTGAAAGAGCAGCGTGGGAGCCACTCTAGAGGTCTTCACAGCGTCTCTCCTGCGCTCTATAGCGGGGCAACTTGGAGATCCCAGCATCCTTCCTTCCTTTCGTCACCCTTCTGCCACCACCTGAACCAAAAGCAAGCTTTGGTGCCTGTAGAGTGGCTGGTTGTTTGCCCGTGCCGTATTTTAATAGGGATATTTTAAACCCTGCTCTAAAAGATCTCTCCACAAATGCTGAGATGCTGCCATTAGAATTTTACTCCTGTAGTTTAAGCATTTCCCTTTCTAAGAGTCTTCTTTATATAGGCAAATACGACCAAATTGGGTCTCTGAGGCTTCTCCCTTCCAGTCTGGCCTTACCTGTAAGTTCCAGAAGTTGATCTCCTTTTAAAGGGAAACCTAGAGCAGCAGTGTTACCCTTCCTTGTGACATGCGCCCCCTTGGCACTGAGGTGAGGCCCATGGACCCTCCTCAGAATAAGGCTTTTAAATTCATGACGTAAAATATATAGGATTATGAGGAAACTGGTTATTTATACATCTCTCTTTATATTTGTAATTTAACCCATTAAACAAAATCTAGAGGCAGGTCTAAGAAGCCCTTTAGAGGAGTGTTAAGTATAAACGCTATTTGGAGGTATCTGCAAAACTTGTCACATGATGAAAAAAACTGATTTCCATTGGTAGAAAAGTCTAAGGCACCACGAACCCTGCTGATGTTTGTCTACTTCATGATTGAAGCAAATGCTCGACTGCGATTAGAAGTTGGTGAAATCAAGGATGTGACACTTTCCCACCCAAGTTCAGGGATCCCTTAAATTCTCTCCATGGACTCCACTTCTAGAGCCCTGGTTTATAGGGCTGTCCACTACCGTTAGCATTTTCTTTGCTGGCTGGTCATTCCAGATTCTGAACTGGATGTGCTAAGCTCAGTTCCGCAAATCTTATACTTCCCGCACCCCGGCCCACCTGGGGCCAGCTCCGTTGGAGGGGTCCGGCATCTGGGGGATGGTCTGAGCGACATGCTCACCAAGTTCCCAGAGACATTATATCAGAGGGCAGCCTGACTTTGATCCAAGCAGTTCCTAAATCAATTATTCTTCCTTGGATTTTTGGCAGGAGACTGTAATTGTCTCAGTGTATTAATAACATGAAGGAGAACCCGTTCCTATTTAAAGCAGAGCCTTTTTCATCTTCTGACCCTGTCTATGAATGATATCTTGTGCCGCGGACCTTGGCTCCAAAAGATAGGTTTTTATTCGGCAAGTGGGAGTCTACCAAGCTCAGTGCAAGAAAGGGTTAACAGCTGGGCCAAGACATGCTGCCACTGACCAAGGGGTGACCATCTCCTGGTCCCAGATGGTGCACACAACAATGTCTTTTTGCACCAAGCTAGCCATTAGTGATGTATCAGAGTATCAGAGTGCAAAAAGACAACATAGCTTGGTGAGACTGGCAAGTAAGAGTGTGCATGCCCTGTCTCAAAGCAATTGGTTTCAACTGTTTCTTAGTATGTATTCATGATATAACAAAAAAGAAAGACTCACAGATACAGAGAACAAACTAGAGGTTACCAGTGGGGAAGACGGAAGGGAGGAGGGGCATTACAGGGGTAGGGGATTAAGTGGTACAAACTATTATGTACAAAATAAGCTACAATTATAAAATATTGTACAACACAGGGAATATAGCCAAAATTTTATAACTATAAATGGAACATAACCTTTAAAAATTGTGAACCACTCTATTATACACCTGTGACATATAATATTGTACATCAACTATAGTTCAACAAAACAATTTTTGCTAATGTATCTATAAACTAAAAATTTTACAACAAAAAATAAAGTAGGTATTCATGGGCTACTGGACTGCACCTTTGAACAGACAATGCCAGCTCTGAAGCCCACCACACAGAGTCCCCTCCAAAGCTCACCAGCACCATCCTCACAGCCTCCCGAGATGCAAGGGACTGCCCGAACAGGTGACTTGGAGGACAAGAGGAGAGATGAGTTTGCCTTGGTTCTGAGGAATGGTTAAGAATTGGGCCCAAGCTATAATAAGGATCATAACAATTTAAGATCCTGGTGAAACAGTTTAAAAAAAAAACCCTCAATTTTCAGCAAGGTAACTATGACAAAATACTTACATTGAGGGGGAAAAAGCAGGGTTAATATAAATAGTTCAAAGAAGTCCTAGTAACGACTTAAGGAAAACTAGGCATCTTGGGGGACTGTTCCTAAGATTTGGGGATAAATAAGGATGATGACTCTTATATCCTTGGATATCCCGTTTTTGTTGCGCCTGTGAAAAGACAAAATGTTGGGCTGGGGAGTTTGGAGATTTGCCCAAAGAACCAGGTTTTCTGCCTCAGTTTCCTTCTCCAGTTCTTTCAACACAAGCCCCACACCTACCTCTGGGTCTGGTCCAGGGGAGAGGCCTCTGAGGAGATGGGCTGGGTTAAGGATGGCAGTTAACATGTGAGGGGCCTGGGGAACATTCAGGAAGAGGAATAACGCGGGGAAGTGAAGCAGGGGTGCCCACGGTGTAGACGGGCTACAAAGGGCTAATGGGCTGAAGAAGCCACGCTGAGCTGGTCTGCTTTCCCCCACAAGCCCAAGTGGCTGAGGGACATGAAGTTGTCCAAATCTGACTGAACACCACCCTCCCTCTCTCCCTCTCCCGAATTAAGCTGGCCCAGGCATTTGGATGAGATGACAGGACACAATCTGTACTCACAAATGTGCAGCAAGCAGGCTGGGTGGAGTTTCTATGGCAACAGCAAGATGGCTTGGAATCCACGGGGGCTACATGGACGTGGAGGACAGAAGCCCTCGCCACCTGAGGGACAGAGGGTGCTTGTTATATGAAAACTGGCTGACAGGGGTAGCAGAGGAGACAGACCCAGGGCAGCCACCTCACACATACATACAGGGGGTGAGTGGTGGCCTTCACGATTCATGCCAGTGAATGATTGTTTGATGCTTCATCTGATTTAACCAGAAAAGGATTCCTCTAGCCATCTGCATGGCCAGACATATCACACCAGCATGCAAGTAAAAGGAGGAGCTAGGACCAGGACTCTCAAAAGGACCACCACGGGCTCTTCCCTCTTTCTGGGACACAAGGTGCTGAGCCCAACCAGAAATCAGTTTTAAAAGTCCAATGATCTGAGGATTGTCTTGTCACCCTCCTTGGTACCTCGGATGTGAGGGTTTGAGGTTGGAGTGGTCATCAGATTGTTCCTCTACTTTCTTTTTATTACCGACTCAGCTCATAATCTTTCAAAGTGCTTTATGTTCTTACTCTACAAAAATGTGGAATGTGTGCCCCTTCCTCAGGAAGGGACAATGATGCATGGTGAACGTGGTGACTGATGTACGTGTAAAGTGGCTCCCTGGCCAACTCGGGAGGGCCTCTCAGAATGTCTGCCTCAGTGGGTCGTTAGGCTCAAGGGCCTAGTTCTTAGCCTGTCAGGTCCAGGAACTCAGTACAGTCACCCTTTGCCAGATGCATGGTAGTCACAGGCAGAGGCTGACCAGATGCCATGTGACAGTGTATTAAAATAACTGGCCAAGTGGCAATGTAGGATGACAGAAGGTATATTTTGAACCCAGACACCCTGCATGGTTGGTACAAGGATTAAATGAGCTGCCATATATGTATGCAAGTGCTTAGAACAATACTGAACACTGTAGAAGTCTTGTTATACTATGATTAAACCTGTACAGTAGTACAGGTTGTATACTGCACAACTTCAGAAGATATCATTCATAAAGACTCCAGTGTGAATGGTGTCCCAGAGTTCTGCAATGTGCCATCTGCATGGTAGCCCTGAAATATCAATCCCCACCATGCAGGGTTATTGTAAAAATTACAGATAAATGTGTGTGAAGTACCTTCTCTGTAGAAAGCACTGTAACTCATAGCTGCTGTTATTATTTATAGTAGGAGATTTATCTGGCAGTTTAGCAGTGATATTTGCACAGGTGCTTCTTGTTGGGCAGGCTTGCAAAGAGACTAAATTTGATTAAACAGCTACTGAGGAATTTTTTTTTCTATTGAGGAATTCTGAGTAAGTGAAAGGAAGCTGAATGTCATCTCAAGGTTATTTTCACTCCATCGGTACAGAGGGGCTTGATTCCAAAGGCATCACTCTTTGGATACTGGAACTCATCATTTGGAAAGGGAACCTTCTACTCTGGGCCACAGAAACACCAATTCTCTCCTTCTCAGCTCTCCTCTTTTTTTGGTCTCTATCATTTGCCAGGAACTTCTCTCACTCCACCACCTCATGGGCCTGCTACAATCAGATAGCTACATCTCTTGCATTAGTTAATCTTTAAATTGGTCTCTTCCTAATGAAATCTTAGGGAAGCCCCATAGGCTCCTTGATGAAATTTGGAAGGCCCCTTCGTCTCATTGGCCACATTTTTTACAAATTATTAACTTAGAGCAACATTAGAGCCCAAAGAATCCACTGAGTATGAAACTCAAACACTTCATCTCTCTGAGCTCCTTCTCAAGTGCTGTTAGACACGTTTTCCCCATGTCCTAACCACTGTGTGCCTCCTCTTTGCTCTTCTGCCTTTTCTATTCAGTGCTACTTCATAAACAAGACTTCAATATTACTCATGTTTTAATAGCAAGTTAGCCTAACAAAACAGCATTTAGCCCAGTGTGCTATGTCCCTCCAGTGGGGTGTTGGAGGCAGCTTAACAGCTCAACCAGCAGATATTGGGAGGAACATGAAACAAACACAGAAATGAAATTAACCATACAGCATTAGAGATGGAAGTATCTTAGGGACTGTCTGGTCCAATCCTTTCATTGTACAATTGTGAAAACTGTGGCCCAGAGAGGGACCACGATGTGCCTGAGGCTACGTAATTAATTCATCTCCTCCATGAGTTAGGGACCAGCTCTGGCTAGGGAGGCATTTCCTCCGGCCTTTGGGGATCGGGGAAGAAGGGTTCCCACAGCGGCAGTGATGGATCACTGCTCTGCAGACATCCCCGAGCAGCTCACAGAAAGTCAGGTTAGAGGCATCGGTCCCCAAGTCCTGTGCTGAAAGCATTCCACGGAGGGGAAGGAAGAGGCCTCATCAGAGCAAACATGTGGCATTCATCCACTCCCACTCAGCACTGGGAGGTGTGAAAAGACATCCCAAAAGGGAGAACTCAAAGGGGACAGGCAGCTAGGCCCTCCTACACGGCTGGCTTTGCTGCAAGGTAGAGCCAACGTGGGGGCGATGCCCAGGTGGGAGGAGCCTTGGAAAAGTCACAAACAGCAGCTGCTCTGCGATCCCCCACCCTCCATGGAGTCAGTAGACGGATGTGCAACAGGATGGTGGGACTGGGATGGACGTTTGAAGCTAGGGAGTCCCACTGCCTCCTCTGACAGATGTGCAGACAGAGTCCCAGGGTCACATACAAAGGGAAGGGCTGAGCTGGCTGTGGAATGGAACTGTCCTAATGCCAGCCCAGCACTCCATCTGGGGTTCCTCTTTTGCTGAGTCTAAGGAAAGTAAGTGGTAGCAACTGACGAAAAGATGGATGTATAAAAGATGGTGGCAGTTTATTACCTAGGCATGATTAACTCCCACAAGCAAATCACACATTCTCCTAGACGCCAGCCGTTTACTGTATGAGTGGCTCTGTCTGGCTCTATGGTCTTAGGCAAATTGCCTTGCGTGCCTCTATTTCTTCACCTGTAAAATGGGCCTAATAATAGGACCTACATCATGGGTAGTTGGGCAGATGGCATGTGAAACACTTAGCACAACACCTGTGGTTGCAATAAATGGTAGTTATCATTTACCCCATAAAAGGACTGTTTTTTCACCCACGTAGCCATCCTTGCCTTCTCCAGTGGGTTCACATTACCTGCTACCTTCTCAACATATCTATGCATCTCTGCTTTGAACGATAAAGAGCTGAGTCACCTCAAGTCCCAGACAAGTGTTTCCCAACTGGAATGTTTTCTGAAAGCTATAAATTCTTGAAAATTTTGTTCATCTTATTAATAATAGATTTAGGAAAATCTACCTCATCCTTGGAGGACAGAGCGATGTCTCCAAAGCACCTGGCTCTCACCTCTGCAGAAATGTCCTTTCTTCCTGATTTTCATCTGGTTTTGTCATTCGGGAAGAGAGGCACCAGGGATTAAATTAGAACTGGAAGGAAGGTGATGAGAAAGAGATCCAGAATGAATGACAGGCTATGAGAAGGGCAGGCTGCAGTTCTCCCCTGTCCTCTGGGAGCCGATTCTGTTGTGAAGGATTTAGGGACTGTGAAGGCCCCCTGGGAAGACAAGGCGGAGGAGGGTGGGAACGAGAAGATAAGAATTTGTCTTCCCTTCAGGCTCCAAGAAAAACAGGAGGGAGAATGTTTTCTCTCCTTCTGTTTTCTTTGCCCCAAATCCTTGAGAGGCCAGTACCGCGCTCCTAGAAGTCAGCCTCACGCCTGTATCTTCCAATCACGGGGGGTCCCTGTACCGCCACTGCCAGTTACCAGTACCACTGTTGGAAATTCTTCCCAATCAGCCCCTGTGGAGATGTTGGTGACCCGAGCGTGCTTCTGGTGGCCTCCGCGGGGAGAAAAGGGAAGGTGACAGTGACGATGATCACGCTGACACAGGCCTTACTTCCTCTTCACGATGGCAGTGCATTCTCCTGAGGGTTGCCTGGAGGGGCAGATGGGAACAGTCCTCCTCTGCCCAGAAATGGGTTACACAGCCCATTGTTAGGGGAACTTGCAACACTTGGCCTTAACCCTAGTATACAAGAAAGAAATATAATTAACCCTGGAGGGGACATCTAGAAAACATCTCTTCTGATAAGAGAAGCTCCCCATTCTATCGACGAGACACGTGAAGCCCAGGAAGATGAAGGACCGGTCCGGAGCACTGGGCTTGTCAGCAGTGGGACGAAGATCAGAACCTTGGCCTCCTGCAGCCCCTTTTCCTCCACATTCACCCCCAGCCTCCATCCTGGGGCACCCGGAATCTTTCTAGGGTCTTTGCGACCCCAGGGCCTGCTTCCCCGTGGAGCTCAGTGCTCTCTGCCTTTTCAGGCCCCATCTTCCTCCTCTTGTCTTTTCTTTCTCCTGAGTCACCACTTCTTTCAGGAAGCGTCCCCTAAATAACCAGCCCTGATCTTGTCCTTCTTCTTCCACTAGTCAGGGCCAATGTTCACCATTTATAGCAAAGAAATGGACCCACTGGATATGTTTATTTGTATGGTTCATGTCTACATTTCTATTAAGAAATTTTTAACAAGCAAAAAGAAATTTAAGAAAACACAACCAATGCTATTGAAACTATTACACCAACTTAAGAAATAAAATATTACAAATGCAGCCAAAGCCCCCTGTGTTCACCTCCCTGGCCGCATTCCCCTGTCTGCCTCCTCCAGACCTAACCAGAAACATTGAACTGAGTTTTTGTCACCCCCCACGCATTGTTTTATAGCTAATATGTTATTCTGTACTGAGGCAGTCCTCCCTCTGCACAGTAGTTCAGGGCCATAATAATGACCACATAAGCTGAAACCATGCAAAATCATCTTAAAAATCCATGGGAAATTTTGTTATTGCTCTGCGATCTTTCAAAAAACATTTTTTTTAACTTTAAAAACTCTCACTGTAGGTGATAGGGACTGTATAGGGAAACATACAGGGAAATTCTTTAAAAATAGTAAAGACAGTGTTTAAAATATTAATTTTCTAACATTTAATTTAAAATATTAGAAACAGAATTACAGTGTTTTGTTTCTTTGTAAAAAAAACTTCTCAAGAGTAGTTTGAACAGCCCTTGCCTTTTTCTTCTCGTCATATAAAGAGCAAACAGCTTTCAACTATGGGTTTTTTTCATCGTAACGACAAAGAGCAAATATCTTTTCTCTCCTTTCTAAGTTTGAATCAACTTCCAATGTCTTGTCCTTTGCACTTTCAATGTCATAAATAATCTCCATGAGTTCCTTTAATGTGAAGTTTTTGCCCACGTCACTTCCTCTGGGATAGCCTCATCCTCTGCATGACAACCACTTTCCTCATTAATGTCAGTTAGCTGTCCTTCACTAAATTCGTCTTGACTGCGTATCTACAGTCTCCCGAGGGGCAGCCGTGCCCACTCTCCCACGGTCAGCTATTTCTTCTGTGACTCCATTTACATTCGATTTTTCACTCCACTTCAGTGTTACCAGCTTTTGGTGTCTTTGCTGTGCTTTCCTCTTTGTTGGCCATTTTCCTTTTTAGATGATCCATTTTTGCAAAGTGCCACATGGGTCGATCACCAGGAGACACGGAAACAACACAGCCGCGCACTTTGCTGTCTGTGCATGAACTGATTAACAGATGTGCAGTGACCAGTCACCACAGAGGTGAGAGAAGTGACATGACTAGTTGCTGACCATGAAGCACATCGCTTATTTATGGAGTGATTTGTGGAATGAAGAACTAGCATCAAAGTTTGTGCCTTTTGTGCAATTACTCACTGTCAATATACCATGGTAACTTACATTTGAACTGTTGTTGGGGGACAGGTTTAACTAAACCATGATGGAAATCCATGTATATTCCACATATACATACATATGGGAATGTATATACGTATGGCATATATATGGGAATTGTGTATATATGTATACACATGTATACATTTGGAAACTGCTCAAAGCAAGGGCTGCCTGAACTTTATTTTTCATATGTCTGTCAGTCAAAGCAACATATAGAATTGTTTTTCGTGCTTTTAAATTTCATGTAAGTGCTAATCCCACTGCACAAATATTTCTTCCTCTTCCAACTCCTATTTTTCCTCTCTTGTTTGTTAGCATATTTGTGTCACTCTCCTCTTGATGAGGCCAGGAGCTACATGAACCAGGAGCTCTGTTCCTCCCATCAGCTGGATGGACTCCCCAGCAAGAGTCTAGTTTCCCCATTACCAGAGCTCACCTGAGAACCCAAGAGGTGCTGCCCATGGCAGCGCTGAGAGAAGGATGGATGTGACTAGCTGCAAACAGTTTGGGTTGGAGTCACACTCCAGTTGCAGGAGAAATCATGCAGAGACAGCCTGAAAGATCCCTGTGTGCAGAGCTCCTAACCCATAAGGCATCTTGTAGCGTTCAGGAAGCCCTCGGGGCTGCAGCTGTGGGATTTTCCTGTCTCCACCACTCATGCCCTTTAGAGTTAAAGTGATTTTAATAGCATCCAGTTTTCTCAAGTGCTGGAGAGACAGAGGTTACAAATGTTAGTACTATGTCATTTTCCTTCTTGATTCCCAGATGGACATTAAAAAGTCACTGCATCAGACACTTGGCCCCTAGCCCCAGGAGCATTAACTAGGGAAATAGTATTGGGCCAGGAGCTGACCGTTAAAATGAAAAGCTTCCCATTTTGCTTTTCTTATGAGGGATAAGACAGAAAGTTCATTGGCCACTATTGGGTGTCTGTGGATGTATGAGTGCGTGCATGTGTGTACATACGTGCATGCATTTGTGATGGCAGTAAGCATCCTTTTAAACATGCCTACGTGTGGGGTTTTGCCCCTGAAGAGATGTGGTTGCAGGGACCTGAGTATGTTGGTGCATATGTGGCTTACTTATGTAGGCATGCTCAGTGTTTGGCACACTGTGTATCTCAGTAAATAAGCAAATACTTGCAGAGCAAGTGTGCCCATCAATCGATGCTCAGCAACGCTGCACACTGTGTACAGTCCTGTCCATTCTATGGGCAGATCCCCTCCCTGCTCCTACTATTCTGTCGGGAGAAACCAGCCAGAACCTGTACTGTACCAGCGTGTGAGCCAGGTGTGTTAGGGACCTATGTACCTACTGCCTC